CCCCATGTCCCAGTGCTTTTGGAATACCAGTGATGCATGGTAGCTATGGTGATGACAATAGAGCTGAGATAAAAATGTAGGTTTAAAGAAAACATTTACAATCTTACACAGAAGGAAAGATTTAGCTCCATTACATAACGCTTATTAAATATATCTATTTTGACTTCTGCATAACCTGTCATCACAGATTGTACAATACTGTACAGTGAATGATATCTAGTTTCATGCAAAAGTATTATTCATACAACTTGTATAAACATTCAATCAAGTCTTTTATTTTTTAAACAAACCAGCCATATCCCACCAAGGCAGGGTGACCTAAGTAATTTATAGAGGAGAAGGGGTTACTAGTCCCTTCAATCAAGTCTTCTACACATTATCTTCAGTCTTTCTTAACACATGAAGAAGCATTCTGATGTCAATAAATTTTTTCATCACTTATGTCTTGTCACTTCAAATTCATCACTCATATAAACTCATTCAATGTTTAATTCCACAAAATAGTCCTAACATATGCCCTCTGGGCTCATCAGACGATATATATTCAGTGCTCTAAAACAGTTAACTTCATTCTAAAACAATTAATTTAAACCTTGATGGTCACATTCTCATTTCAGTATTTGTCCCAAACCATTTAAATAATTTATTGTTTCATTTTTTGAATACTTTACTATCATAATTCCTATTTATATACCAATTAGATGTCAGCAACATATATACAGCCTCTCCTCACTTAATGATGGGGTTCCATTCCTAAGAGTAGGTTGGTAAGCAAACTGGTCGTTAAGTGAAGAGCATACCATACTGGTAGTGGGTTTGTGTCAACCATCTTTAGATATTTTTTTTAATGTCACCGGTGCACCATTTATAACATTTTCAGTATATTTTTAAATGTTTATACAGTAGTGTACTGTATATTGTAATAAACAGAATAGAGGAAATCAGCTCTAATATACATTACTTAGGTTTGCATAGTGGTTGGAGAGCTGGTCTTAAGTCTGAGTGGCTGGTAAACGAATATATCACTAAGTGAGGAGAGGCTGTATATTCAGGGAACCAAAGTATGAGTGACACACATATATACATACAGTGGACCCTCGACCAACGATGGCATCAATTAACGATAAATCTGACTAGCGATACATTTTAACGCAAAAATTTTGCCTCGACTAGCGCTAAAAAACTCGACCAACACTATTCGTTCCGTCTGAGACGCGTCCACTTCTGGCCAGTGTTTACAAGCCAGCCAGCCACTGCGGTTGCTTCCAAGCATACAATCGGAACATTTCATATTATCACAGCCTTTTTAGTGATTGCACCTGCAAAATAAGTCACCATGGGCCCCAAGGGTGAGAATTACTATGGATATGAAGAAAGAGATCATTGCTCAGTATGAAAGTGGAGTGCGTGTCTACGAGCTGGCCAGGTTGTACACAAAACCCCAATCAACCATCGCTACTATTGTGGGCAAGAAAATGGCAATCAAGGAAGCTGTTCTTGCCAAAGGTGCAACTATGTTTTCGAAACTGAGATCGCAAGTGATAGAAGATGTTGAGAGACTGTTATTGGTGTGGATAAACGAAAAACAGAGAGCAGGAGATAGCATCTCTCAAGCGATCATATGTGAAAAGGCTAGGAAGTTGCATGACGATTTAATTAAAAAAATGCTAGCAACTAGTGGTGATGTGAGTGAATTTAAGGCCAGCAAAGGTTGGTTTGAGAGATTTAAAGGGAAGGGAAGTAACCCCAGAAAAGGACTTGCCACCTCAAGTCCTAATGGAAGGGGATTCCCCTTCTAAACACTAAGACCATCAACACTCTCCCCTCCTCCCATCCCATCAATCATCACCAGATCTTCAATAAAGGTAAGTGTCATGTAACTGTGCATGTCTTCTTCAGTTTGTGTGTATTAAAATTAATATTTCATGTGGTAAAACAATTTTTTTTTCATACTTTTGGGTGTCCTACACGGATTAATTTGATTTCCATTATTTCTTATGGGGAAAATTAACTTGACTAACGATAATTTTGACTAACGATGAGCTCTCAGGAACGAATTAATAGCGTTAGTCGAGGGTCCACTGTATATTTTTTAACACATTGGCCATTTCCCGCCAAGGCAGGGTGGTCCAAAAAAAAGAAACATTTCCACCAACACTCACTCCATCACTGTCTTGCCAGAGGGGTGCTGATACTACAGTTCAAAACTGCAAATGTCTCCTGCCAGCTGCAATTTTAGGTCTTGACTCAGCTATCTGAATAACTCGTATTGTTTGACGTCATAGGGTTATCTTAGGTTAAGTCTATGTAGTGTGCTTTTTGTGTGCCCATAACACCTGTGCAACTTTTGTTTTTCCTGTGGGATATGGCCGGTGCATTGAAAGGAAGAAGAAGAAGAAAGAAACACCTGTGCCCCTCAAAACCTCTAAAAAATAAATATTTGCATTTAACATACACAAAACCTAAATAAAAACCTACAATTCTAATTAACATGATTATGAGTATTTGGAAGTATTTTTTGACGAGATACTTAGGAAGATTATTGTGGCTCAGACAAACAATTCAACAGTAGGCAGACACTTATTGTTACAGACATGTATCTTTCTTTGCAACACTAATGCTAATGCCACATGCTCATGTTTTGAGCACTGAAACACCTAGACACACCTCTAATATCATAAGAAACTATGTACGTAATGTTAGTGAAAATTATAATTTGGCATAAAAAAAATTGTTAAATGAATAATGAATGCATTTACACTGGTATGTATGTACACTGGTGTGTGAATTTACACTGCTGTATGCATTTACACTGGTGTGTGCACTGAGACTAGCATGCATTTACACTTCTGTGTGCATTTACACTGCTCTGTACATATACACTGCTGTGTGCATTTCTCCTGCTGTATTCATTTACATCGCTGTGCATTTACACTGCTGTGGCTGAGTGATCATTTTTGGCCAACTTCAACACATCATAAAATCATAAGTTTTCTTTTAAAAAAAACTTTGCAATTTCTAAAATGTGATTTTTTTATATAAATACTACATATTAGTGGCTGTAAGACAACTTTTTTTTTAACTCAAAGTGTCAAAAATTACAGTCATTGTCATATAAATGCAATAATCAATTATTTCATAAAATGAAGAAAAAGGCACAATACCATGACTGGCTCCCTTGTCTTTGCGTGTTAGTGTGTGACTGGTTAATGGTGCAAGTCGGACAGAAACGTTGTCACAAGTTTTTTTCTCTTACGTGTGGGTTATTTGTGTAAAAATGAAGAAAAACTGAGAAAACTAAAATATGACTGCTTATCAGTAGTGTCAGACTGAAATGTTATGATGACCCTCGTCACATGAATCCAACTGCTAAGACCACTGGGAGCAAAGACCTGATACAGTATTGATGAGGAAGGTGAGTGCAAGGGTCATGATAACATGATAAATTAAAGACCTTTCAATACAAGAGGAAGAAAATGAATTTTGACACACACCACAAGGTAACAAGGGCCTAAAGAGTAAGCTTTGATGAGTACAACTGGGAGTGTAAGCAACAGGGAGGGACACCAGTAGGGAGGGACACCAACAGGGAGGGACATTAACAGGGACACCAATGAGAGGCTCACCAGCAGAGACACCAACAGAAGGCACACCAACAGGGACAACAACAGGAGGCACACCAACAGGGACAACAACAGGAGGCACACCAACAGGGACACCAACAGGAGGCACACCAACAGGGACACCAACAGGAGGCACACCAACAGGGACAACAATAGGAGGCACACCAACAGGGACAACAACAGGAGGCACACCAACAGGGACAACAACAGGAGGCACACCAACAGGGACAACAACAGGAGGCACACCAACAGGGACAACAACAGGAGGCACACCAACAGGGACAACAACAGGAGGCACACCAACAGGGACAACAACAGGAGGCAACACCAACAGGGACAACAACAGGAGGCACACCAACAGGGACAACAACAGGAGGCCACCAACGACAACAACAGGAGGACAACAGGACAAACAGGAGGCACACCAACAGGGACAACAACAGGAGGCACACCAACAGGGACAACAACAGGAGGCACACCAACAGGGACAACAACAGGAGGCACACCAACAGGGACAACAACAGGAGGCACACCAACAGGGACAACAACAGGAGGCACACCAACAGGGACAACAACAGGAGGCACACCAACAGGGACAACAACAGGAGGCACACCAACAGGGACAACAACAGGAGGCACACCAACAGGGACAACAACAGGAGGCACACCAACAGGGACAACAACAGGAGGCACACCAACAGGGACAACAACAGGAGGCACACCAACAGGGACAACAACAGGAGGCACACCAACAGGGACAACAACAGGAGGCACACCAACAGGAGGCACACCAACAGGGACAACAACAGGAGGCACACCAACAGGAGGCACACCAACAGGGACAACAACAGGAGGCACACCAACAGGGACAACAACAGGAGGCACACCAACAGGGACAACAACAGGAGGCACACCAACAGGGACAACAGGAGGCACACCAACAGGGACAACAGGAGGCACACCAACAGGGACAACAACAGGAGGCACACCAACAGGGACAACAACAGGAGGCACACCAACAGGGACAACAACAGGAGGCACACCAACAGGGACAACAACAGGAGGCACACCAACAGGGACAACAACAGGAGGCACACCAACAGGGACAACAACAGGAGGCACACCAACAGGGACAACAACAGGAGGCACACCAACAGGGACAACAACAGGAGGCACACCAACAGGGACAACAACAGGAGGCACACCAACAGGGACAACAACAGGAGGCACACCAACAGGGACAACAACAGGAGGCACACCAACAGGGACAACAACAGGAGGCACACCAACAGGGACAACAACAGGAGGCACACCAACAGGGACAACAACAGGAGGCACACCAACAGGGACAACAACAGGAGGCACACCAACAGGGACAACAACAGGAGGCACACCAACAGGGACAACAACAGGAGGCACACCAACAAGGGAGAGAGACCAACAGGAGAGACTGTTGACCAGAGAGGTGAGCTGGAAGCCTGGAATGACACTAACAGTTTACCTACTCAATTGCCCCTGCGATTAAAGTCCTGTGTGATTTTATTCTATTATTTTATGTTGCTAATATGATTTAGAGCCGTGACTGCCCAAGGGACTGTTTGAACCCTACTGCAACAGGACTGCAATTATCTCTTTTTATTAACACATTAACCATTTCCAACATGACAGGGCAAGCCAAAACAGAACACTTTCATCATCACTTATTCCATCACTGTCTTGCCAGAGGCATGCCAACACTACAGTTAAAAACAGCAACACATCTCCACCCCTCCTTCAACTATCAACTATTATTGAATTAAATTTTTTTTCTTGTTAAGAAGTTTTACATAATCAAAATGTGTTACGTTATTTCTCATTTTTTACTAAATATAAAAAGAAGAAAAACTTTTAAAAGGGTTTCTTCTTTTTTAAGTCACCCTGCCTCAGTGGGAGATAAGTATGTTGAAAAGAAAAAAATTCTCATTTTATACTTCCATAATTATCAGGATATTTAAAATACTCTAAAAATGAAAAACATATTAAGATGAGCACTACGATAGAAAATATACTGATAACTAAAATAAGAATCTCCTATATCATGAAAGTAATAGACCGTATTGGGAGAACTTGGGATAGAACCATTAACCTTGTGCAATGATTAAGTTAAATCCATGGACAACCATTTCATTTCTAACCTACTTAACAGAGCTAGCTCATTCTCACCATTTAGTATTTTTTTTTATTAACACATCAGCCGTTTCCAACCGAGGCAGGTTGGAAACGGGCGATGTGTTAATAAAAAGAAGAAACACTTTCACCATCATTCACTCCATCACTGTCTTGACAGAGACATGCCTACAGTTCAAAAACTGCAAAATATCCCCACCCTTTTTTCAGAGTGCAGGCACTGTACTTCCCACTTCCAGGACTCAAGTCTGGCTAACCAGACCATTTACATTGTTATATTGTATTTACTGTCTGCAATATAAAGCAAATGCAATATGTTAAGGGTAAAATAACACCTTCAAACTACTGTATGTGTTGTGAACTTTGTCGAATATAAATTTGGAGTCGGTGTAAAACTTGCGGCTGGGACACCACAAGCATAACTCTGCTCCTGTGGCTACATATTGGTTATTGAAGAGGTAGTTATAGATTACAAGTGTAAAGCTGGTGATGTACATGGATGTGTAGGTAATGCTATTTTGTAAGCCTCTTAACTATTTAAATAAAACAGAAAAAAAAATCTTATCAATAATTAAACAAAACTTAAAAACCTACCTTACCTAACTATATTTAAACCTGAAAAAACACAACCTGATCATGTTCAAGCATAATTAAAAAATATAATTTAGGTAGTAGGTTGATAGACAGCAATTGCCCAGGGAGGTACTACTATACTTCCAAGTGAGTGTAAAATGGAAGCCTGTATGTATATGTATTACATGGTAGGATTGCTGGTGTCTTTTTTCTGTCTCATAAACATGCAAATTTCAGGTACGTCATGCTACTTCTACTTACACTTAGGTCATGCTACACATGCATGTTTATGTATACACACTCATCTGAGTTTTCTCTGATTTTATCTGAATAGTTCTTGTTCTTATTGCCTTTCCTTTCATATCCATGGGGAAGTGGAAAAAAATCTTTCCTCTGTAAGCTATGCGTGTTGTGAAAGTCAACTAAAATGCTGGGAGCAATGGGCTAGTAACCCCTTCTCCCATATAGCTTACTAAAAAGAAAAAAGAAGAAAACCGTCAAAGTGGGATGTTTGAATGTGTGTGGATGTAGTGTGAATGATAAGAAAGAGATGATTGTGGATGTTATGAATGAAAAGAAGTTGGATGTCCTGGCTCTAAGTGAAACAAAGCTGAAGGGGGTAAGAGAGTTTCAGTGGGGAGAAATAAAGGAAGAAGTAACAATAATGTTGATGGATAAGTTATGGCAGGAAAAGATGGAATATAAATGTATAAATTCAAGAATTATATGGAGAAAAATAAGGGTTGGATTTGAAAAGTGAGTTATAGTAAGGGTTTATGCACCTGGAGAAGAAAGAAGTATAGAGACGAGAGAGATTTTTGGAAATGTTGAGCGAGTGCATGGGGAGTTTTGAACAAAGTGAGAGAGTACTTGTGGTTGGGGATCTCAATGCTCAAGTGGGTAAAAATGTTGTTGAGGGAGTAGTAGGTAAATTTGGGGTGCCAGGGGTAAATGAAAATGGGGAGTCATTAATTGAACTATGTGTAAAAAGAGGTTTGGTAATAAGTAATACATATTTTATGAAAAAGAGGATAAATAAGTATATAAGATATGATACAACATGTAATGAAAGTAGTTCGTTGAATTATGTATTGGTGGATAAAAGGTTGATGGGTAGGGTTCAGGATGCACATGTTTATAGAGGGGCAATGGATATATCGGATCATTATCTAGTTGTAGCTACAGTTAGAGTAAGAGGTAGATTGGACAAAAGAAAAATGGCAACAGTAAGTAAGAGGTGAAAGTTTATAAACTAAGGGAGGAGGAAGTTAGGGTGAGATATTGGCAGAAAGGTGGGCTAGTGCAAGTATGGGTGGAGGGGGGGGGTTGTTTGAAGAGGGATGGCATAGTTTTAAAAATGCAGTATTAGAATGTGAGGCAGAAGTTTGTGGATGTAGGAGGGTGGGTGCAGGAGAAAATAAGTGTGACTGGTGGAATGATGTGGTAAAGGGTGTGATACAAGAGAAAAAAGTAGCTTATGAGAGGTTTTTACAAAGCAGAAGTGATATAAGAAGGGCAGAGTATATGGAGAGTAAAAGAAAGGTGAAGAGAGTGGTGAGAGAGTGCAAAAGGAGAGCAAATGAGTGAGAGAGGCACTGTCAAGAAATTTTGCTGAGAATTAGAAAAAATTTGTGGAGTGTGATAAACAAGTTAAGAAAGCATAGGAACAAATGGATTTCTCAGTTAAAAATGGAGTAGGGGAGTTAGTAGATGGGGAGCTAGAGGTATTGTGTAGATGGCAGGAATATTTTGAGGAACTTTTAAATGTTGATGAAGAAAGGGAGTCAGTAATTTCATGCACTGGTCAGGGAGGTATAACATCTTTTAGGAGTGAAGAGCAAGATGTGAGTGTGGGGGAGATGCGTGAGGCATCACGTAAAATGAAAAGGGGATAAAGCAGCTGAAACTGACGGGATCATGACAGAAGTGTTAAAAGCAGGGAGAGATATAGTGTTGGAGTGGTTGGTATTTTTGTTTAATAAATGTACGAAGCAGGGAAGGTACCTAGGGATTGGCAGAGAGCATGTCTAGTTCCTTTATATAAAGGGAAGGGGGACAAGGGAGATTGTAAAAATTATAGGGGAATAACTTTACTGAGTATGCTGGTAAAGTGTATGGGAGGGTTATTATTGAAAGAATTAGAGGTAAGATAGAGAGCAAGATTCCACATGAGCAAGGAGGCTTTATATTATTATTATTATAATCAAGGGGAAGCGCTAAACCCGTAGGATTATACAGCACCTGGGGGGAGGGATGTGAAAGGCATCTAGGCTTAATTCGGGGAACTGGAGCACAGATCCAGTTCCCTAAATCAAGAGCCCATCACCAACAGGAGGCTTTAGAATGAGTAGGGGATGTGTAGATCAAGAGTTTATATTGAAGCACATATGTTAACAGTATTTAGATAAAGGCAAGGAAGTTTTCATTGCATTTATGGATTTACAAAAGGCATACGATAGATAGGAGAGCAATGTGGTAGATGTTGCAAGTGTATGGAATAGGTAGTAAGTTACTAAATACTGTAAAGAGTTTTTATGAGGATAGTGAGGCTCATATTAGGGTGTGAAGGAGAGAAGGAGATTACTTCCCAGCAAAAGTAGGTCTTAGACAGGGATGTGTAATGTCACCATGGTTGTTTAACATATTTACAGATGGGGTTGTAAAAGAAGTAAATGCTAGAGTATTGGTGAGAAGGGTGGGATAAATATGGGGAATCAAATACAAAATGGGAGTTGACACAGTTACATTTTGCTGATGATACTGTGCTTTTGGGGGATTCTAAAGAAAAGTTGCAAAGGTTAGTGGATGAGTTTGGGAGGGCATGTAAAGGTAAAAAGTTGAAAGTGAACATAGGTAAGAGTAAGGTAATGAGAGTTATCAAACAATTTAGATAAAGAAAAATTGGATATCGAATTGGAGGGAGGGAGTATGGAAGAAGTGAATGTTTTCAGATATTTGGGAGTTGACTTGTCAGCAGATGGGTTTATGAAGAATGAGGTTAACCATAAAATTGAAGGAAAAAAGGTGACTGGTGTGTTGAGGTATCTCTGGAGACAAAAAAACGTTATCCATGGAGGCAAAGAATGGTTGGCTCTGAAAAAGTTGGAGGGAGGGGGTAAAGGAAATTTTGTGGGTGAGGGGCTTGGACCTCCAGCAAGTGTGTGTAAGCATGTTAGACAGAAGTGAATGGAGAGAATGGTTTTTGGGACCTGACGAGCTGTTTGAGTGTGAGCAGGGTAATATTTTGTGAAGGGATTCATGGAAACTGGTTAGCCGAACTTAAGTCCTGGAAATGGGAAGTACAATGCCTGCACTTTAAAGGAGAGGTTTGGGATATTGGCAGTTTGGAGGAACACCTGAGCTGTCATATCTGGGTGCCTCTGCAAAGACAGTGATTATGTATGAGTGATGGTGAAACTGTTAAATGATGATGAAAGTTTTTTCTTTCTTTTTTGGGTTTTTTTTCTTTTTGGGTCACTCTGCCTTGGTGGGAGATGACCGACATGTTAAAAAAAAATGAGAAAAACCTATGAAAAAAACTGGATACCAAACTATATTAAAAACAACTTAAAACTTTACAACCATATTTCAAAAATAAAAATTAACTTGTTTTTCCAGTTCAAAATAAATTATTTCTGAACAAAGTATACACAGCTCCTTGACTTTTAGCAAAGTCTGTTTAAAAAGTACTATATCACTCAACTTATTATTAAGGTTAACTTGTCTGGTAATTTTTAAGTAAAAACAATATAACATAAATAAAACTAAATTCTCTCATTTTTTTTTTTTTTGTTCTTGGCACATTGGAATTGTTATGCCAATCGTCTTATTTACTGACAGTGTCATGGCAACAAAAGTGTGCAGTATCATATTTTCAATTTATTTTGTTCTGGTTAATAGTTTAGCATATATCTACATTAACCTGCCTCCACTTCTTGCACAATATCACTAATATGACAAATCATTTTACTGTTTAAAAATAGATTTTAAATTCAAGCAATCATTACTTCTTATTTTGAATGACTAGCCAGCTATTTCCTCTATATTTTGCGAATTTTAGCCTTTTTCCTGTTTTAAATTTTTTTTTTTTTAATAAACTAGCCAGTTATTTGTATAACTGCAATAAATTTACCATATATACCTAACTCAGTCTTTCAGTATTAAATAGTATCTCATTAACTCGTAATTTGTTGTTTGCAATATCACTGCAATTAAGCTTACTTTCGATATTTCCTCCATCTGCGTACTTGTATAATCTACTGGACTCATCATGACTAAGAGTATGCTGCAGAAATAACTGAATAACTGCATGTTAATTTACCGCTCCAGGAAGTGAGGTGTCACGACTGCCAAACGTTCTCACCTGTATCAATACACACATCAAATACTGTCCAGGTGAACTTGTAAAACTTTTATATTTGTATAGTAGGCAGAACATTGATAATAACCTTTCCTGCTTGTAGTTGTCATAGCCCATATACGAGCGTTCCCATTCCTTGTTTGTATCTTCCTTGGCACCAAATCGTTCCCGCAGGTCGTTACATTCCTTAATAGCCTTATCTCGGTCGTGGAGAGATGCAGCTATTTCCCGCTTCAGCATTTCAATTTGGAGAAGAAGGGATTCCCGCTGTATATACAATATGAACATTAGGAAGTAGAAAAGAAAGATATGAAATGAGAATCCATTGAGAGTGGATGTTCTCACTGCATATCTTGTTATAAACAAAAAATTATCCAAATTAAATAAAACTAAAGAATAAACTGAAGTATATCTCTACCTGTACAAAAAAAAAAATTAAGTTCAGCTCAAAATTTAATTTCAATAAACTAATAAAACAATATCACTGACTACCTGTTAAAATATATGAAAATTAATAGAGAGAAGAGTAATAATTACAGTATAAAAAAACTATTATTCACAACACATTAATCTCAACTAATTCATGGTAATTACTTTTGCCCTGAATGTAGCTAAAGATTAACAAACACTAAGTATAGACAGTAGGCTGTTCACTGATTAAAATTATCCAAGGTTTAAAATGCATTTTAGTGACACTTTTTAACTTTTACTTTTCATTTTTTGTGTGTGGAAGTTGTAATATTTTGGCTTTGGTATTAGCATACCCCAACAATAAAGACGACCAAACACATTACGTATTTCCTTACAGTTGGACCATGTCCCAATGGTAATCTGAGAAGCATCCTTATTGGCCGAGTATAACTCACAAACTCATATAACATGAGTGCAAACAAACCACGTAACAGGTGGGGTTGGAACCCATGGCGAGCGAGTCGTAACATTCCAGGCCAGTGCATAAGCCACTGGGCCAGCTGACTAGATGAAGAATCTTATTGTAGCCAGCTGGCCAAGTGGTTTACAAAATGGCCTGTAGTTTTCAGACACACTTGCTATGGTTTAGGTGTGTATAGAGTAAAGCAATTTTTTTTTTTTTTTTAAAAATACCAACAGGCATATCAACAGATCTCGTCTGTTAATTTTACTGGAGGAACATTTTGTAAGCAGAAGCTGATACTACTTAACTTTGTTTATCAAAGTTGTATTATATTAATTACATACTGAAACAAATGACACTGCTCTACTTCAAGAAGTGGAGACTCAGTCTTGTCATGTACAAAACAGTGTGTATCGCAATTTAAAATTGTCATGAAAGAAGAGTATTCAGTTTAACCACAACAATATCTAGTTAGACAAGATGTGATAAAATGTGGTTCTCAAGACTTGCACTTGCACTAATGATTATTAATTTTTTATACCCCAGAGAAGCTATTCCTAGGGTAACACACAAGTTAATAAATCAGACACTTGTGCAACTTCTGGGTATCTTTACTTGTAGATGTTTCGCCATCAGTACAATGCGTGAACACAACAGAAATACGTATATAATGTATACAGCTAATAGCGGAAGATGAGGTAATCAGTCTTTCAGCCTAGGAGACCTAGGAGCATGTGACGAGCACCATAATCTTCAAGAATATGGTGTTCGTCACCTGCTCCTGGGCTGTGGGACTAATTACATCATCTTCCACTATTTGTTGCATATATTTCTATTATCAGAGCAAATGGCTAGCAATCCCTTCTCCTGTAAAATTACTAAATGTAAAAATAAAGACTTTTGTTTTACTTTTTGGGTCACCCTGCCTTGGTTTGTTGAAAAAAAAAATCTGTTATCTCCATAGGGAAGTGGAGAAGAACCCTCCCATAAGCCATGCGTGTCATAAGAGGTGACTAAAATGCCAGGAGCAAGGGGCTACTAACCCCTTCTCCTGTAAAAATTACTAAATGTAAAAAAGAAACCTAATGAAAGTGTTTCTTCTTTTTCAGGTCTCCCTGCCTCAGTGGGAGATGGTTGGTGTGTTAAAAAAAAAATCCATTATGCTCATGTACTGTACTGATAAAGCCAGTGGATGGTGAAACATCTACAGTGGTACCTCAAATTTCGAACAGCTCCCAACTTGAACAATTATGTAAGTGTATTTTTGTAAGTGCTTTTGCAAGTGTATTTATGGGGGTCTGAAATGAACTACTCCAATTTACATTATTCCTTATGGGAACAAATTCGTTCGGTAATGGCACTCGAACAGCCTTCTGGAACGAATTATGGCCGAAATTCAAGGTACAAGTAAAGTTACCCAGATATTGCACATTGTCTGATTCATCATCTTGTCAGTCCTGAATATCATTGATATACAATGCACTAGTTAACAATGCTCTAATACTATTTATGCATATCTATTAATGAAAAGAATTATGACCAGTGCTCACTTTGCTTTATCCATAAATTAGCTGGATCATCATTAAGTACAGCTGATATAGTAGCTATATTTGTTAATACCATCTGTTAACAAGTCCATGGATCACTGTCAGTGATCCATAGACTTCAGAATCTCCCAAAAGATCCAAGTCACTGGAAAGACCAACTGTGACAACTCCCATTTTGTATCTGATTTGTAATTTTTTTTTTATACTACACCTCTCCCCAACACCCTAGCATGTGCTTCTTTTACAACTCAATTTATTTCAATATTAAACAACCATGGTGACATCACAGATCTCTGTCTAAGACCTAATTTTACTGAAAAATGGACCTCTTTTCTTTCACAATCCCTAACCTGAGCTTCACTCTCCTCATAAAAACTTTTTACTGCTTTTCTAATGCACTATCTTTTCTATACATTTACAACATCACCAAACTGATCTACCCACCCAATCATGTGCTTTTTCTAAATCCATAAATCCAACAAACAGTTCTTTTCCCTTATCTAAGTATTTTATTGACTTAAATGCTTCAATATAAATACGTGATCTACACATCTACCAATCTTAAATCATCCTTGTTCATCTACAATCCTACTTTCTGTCTTACTCTCATTCAGTAATAATTATAACTAAAAATATGTGAACCTAGGCGCCTTCACAACTCTTTAATTCTACAATAACTTGAAACGTGATTTGAGGATTCTCTCGATATTTTGATCAATTTTTCAAAATATCATGGTGTCACATCTTCAGTATTTAATCTACAAATATATAAAATTTCCAGTGATTGTAACAGTTACTATCTCATTTTAGATATCAATCCAGTCTTCTACCATTCTGTGGGGAACTCTGTCTTTACCTATTGGTACTCACCTATTTGTGGTTACTGGGGCTGATTCTCAGATCCTGGCCCCCACCTCTGAACTTGACATTTTACATATTAATTCTCTCTTAGCCTCGAGGACCCTATGATACCTGCTGTTACAACTATTTTTGAAGTTTGCTTCCACTTCAAGGTCATTCCAATTCCTGATCACTCTAAAATCCAAGAAATACTTCCTAACATCCCTTTGGCTCATCTGTGACCTAAATTTTCAGTGCTGTCCCTGAGTTCCTGCTTCTTGCCTCTCAAACAGCTGTATCATTCTCAAATTCTCTCTCAGCCTCTCTCCTCACCCCAGAATATTAGTTTCTGGCCAGGCTTCTCACTTCTCTTCTCGCCTCTCTTTTTCTTTCTGTATTTTCTCAACTCCCTTATACTTTTATTTGTTTCCTCCCTGCATCTCTAGTTAAACTAGGGGTTCTCTTTGTATCTGTTGTTTCTACATCTCGGTAAAAAAGCCTGTTCAGCTTCCCTATATTTTCCAGGTAGGTACTCCACCATCCCTGACATGTTATCATGCTGCCCTTATCTTCCTATTAGCCAAATATATGACTTTTAGTACTTTTGGTCTTTGTAATTATTTTTTTTTTTTAGTTTTATAGCATTAGAGAAAGGAATATATGAATAATAACCAGACAAACTACTGCCACTTGAAAATCAACTATATAAAACATGGAAACAAGAAGCTTGTATACTGTACTACTGACAACCTTCAAAATAGCCTTTAAGACATGTAAACAACAAAATGCTAGAATAAGCTGATCACAAAATATTGACCAAAATTAAAAGTATGCACTGGTAGTATAGTATCTGCATGTAAAAAGCATGTAGATAAAATGAAGGAAATTAAAGTAGTTAAAATACATATTACAAAATGACTCCAAGAGCCAAGAAACCAGAGTTATGAAAAAGGATGAAAAGGGTGAAAATATTCTTGTTGGTTAAAAGGAGATAGAGGAGACAAAAATATTTTTTTTAATTCTACATATCAATCTTTTCTCACAAAGGTAGGGAGATGCCAAGAAGAAAAATGAATTAACCTTCACTACCCAGGTGTCTCTCCAAAGTCCAGCGACACAAAAATCCGAACAACCCAAAATATCTCCACCCATCTTCCAAGGTACAGGCTTTGATACTTTTCCTCTTTCAACTTTTCCAAAGATCAAAGCTGCCCGTTCTTTTATCAGACCATTGGCAGCTGTTTGACCATGACTTTTGGATCATTACTGGATAGATAAGAGCACCCATTGTAAATAAATTAGGTTAATTCGGTTCAGCCTGTATGAGTTAGATATAGTTACAGAGATCTGCCACTACACCAGAAGATCAACATATTTCCTCGAAAATTTGACATGAATCTTTTTGCACCAATATTTTATATTCTATGTATTACAGTTCAGTATTATGCCATCATTATGTATACTAAATTACAGCCTTTCCTCACTTAATGACAGGGTTCCATTCCTAAGAGTAGGTCAGTAAGCAAATTGGCTGTTAAGCGAGGAACATACTATACTGGTAGTGAGTTTGTGTCAACCATCTTTAGATATTTTTTAATGCCACCTTTGCACCATTTGTAACATTTCTTGTATATTTTTAAATGTTTATACAGTAGTGTACTTTATACCGTAATAAACAGAACAGAGAAAATCAGTTCTAATATACGTACATTACTTGGGTTCGCATACTGGTTGGAGAGCTGGTCGTATGTCTGACTGGTCGGTAAATGAATATGTCACTAAGTGAGGAGAGGCTGTACTGTAAATTTCCATTTCAATTTGGTTCCCAGGAAGAATCAATATACTGTTACATTCTGATTCGGTTCCATTAGATTTAAAGGAGGGGTCTGGGATATTTGCTGTTTGGAGGAACACATGAACTGTCATATCTGTCTGCCTCTGCAAAGACAGTGATTATGTGTGAATGATGGTGAAGTGTTTCTTTTTTGGGTCACCCTGGCTTGGTG